ACACACACACACACACATTGACACAGACACACACAGACACACAGACAGACACACACACACACATACACGTACACACCACACACACACACACACACACACACACACACACACACATTCACACATTCACACACAGACACACACACAGACACACACAAACACACACATAGACAGACACGCAGACACACAGACACACACCCCACACAGACACATCCTGGGCTACTGTAAAGGCACTCTGAGGGCTGGCGGATGGGATAGAGTTGCCGTGGTAGACTGCTTGCCTCGCATGCCTAGGGCCTGAGGCCGGAGTTTGATCCCCAGCAAGGCACACACCCAGTGTGGCGGCACACACCCAGTGTGGCGGCACATGATTGTAATCCCAGTACTCGGCAGGTGGAGGCAGGAAGACCAGGTGGTAATGGTAATGCCAGCCTTCGATACAGAGTAAGTTCAAAGACAGCCTGGACCCCATGACATCCTGTCTCTAAACAAAGCCAGTGAAGACACTCTAGCAACCAGACGTCCCAAACCAACTGGCTTTCAACAAGCACACACCAGCTCTGTCATCGGAAGCCTCAGAGCTGAGGCAAGTCCCATCCATAACAGACCAGGGAGTCGATACTGAGAGTGTGAAAACTGGAAGAGAACCCACGGTAAGGAACAAGAATGACCTCTAGGCTGGCGGGAGAGGGTAGCTGGCTGTTCCCCAGGAAGGACACTCTGGACTGTAGTGCTACAGCCGCAGGTACTGCAACAATGTATTGTATGTGCCAAGCACGAGTCTGGGTGTGTGTCTCCCCAGAGTCTCAAGGTGATGACTCATCCCAGCCACCTCATAATGTGGAGCCCAGAATCCAGCTCTGCCATGCCAGGCCTCAAAACAACAGGAATGTGAGCCAGAGAACAAGAAGTATTTTAAGCCATTCAATGCATGTTCTATTATGTGTCAACACAAACAAATATAAACAGTCATTACAGTGTTTATATAAATATAAACATGTTCCTCCATGTTCCTCTTGCTCTGCTCCCCCTCAATACGCTGGTGTATCTCCTGAGTCACACAAACTCTGAATTCTGCTCTGGGGACTGCAGGGCCCTGAGTCCTCAAATGTTCTAGGTTACACAGGTTTCATTCATGTTGACTCTTGGAGAGGAGCAGGGCAAACAGCCCAGGGCTCTCTTCAACATCCCACACTAACCACTTGTATTTTGTGCCACTCACCATACAGGTGTGGTATCAGAAACATTGCCCTCACTCTCCATGCATTTGGTTTTAGTTTTTAGCTCCTGATTGCCTTTGGGGCCTGGGTGTTTGAAACTTCATTTTAAAACCACATTTCTTCCATATTTTTTTTTCCCACTGCAATAACCCTTGTCTGAGACAAACACTCCCAAGTGGTCCAGGTACTGTCTGAGACGGGGAAAGGGCAGACACAAGAAATACAGGATGGATAGGATGGCATTCAGTGGTATTTTGAAGATATTTACCCGGCAGCATCCAGCCCACATAGGCGGGGCCGGCATCTAGGTGAGACAAGGTGCAGCTGGGTATGGTTTTTCTCTTGCTGTTTCCCAACTCTGTAACACCTTCATCTGAATCGTCCCTGCCTCCCGCTCACGCCCGGGATCCTCCTGCAGTCGGCTGCTTTCCCACCCCACCCCCTTCCTCCCAGGTCCTGTCTGTGGCCCTCTGGGAGTCTTACACAGGACTCTTGGTTGGGGAACGCTTCTCTCCACCAAGTGCACAGCTACCACAGTATTTTTTAACCTTAACCTTCTAAGCCTGAATAACTAAGTTCTGTGGTCCACTTCTTTCTGTAGTTCCCCCAAATAAACCTGAGCAAAACCCAGAGGAAGGGGGAAAAAAAAAAAAAAACCATTTTCAAGCAGCTCACGCGCAGTGGCCTCTGCTGTATGCACCAGCTTGTCAGTGCCACGTGGCTCCTTTCAAAGCGGAGGGTCCCAGTCAAGTCCCACTGTCTACAGCAGGGCAGACCCAAGGCAGTCCAGTCACCGCAGCCAGTGTTCCCTGTAGGGGAGACACAGGGTGTTCTCACTGACACCCCGTGTCAGTGCCCCCAGTCTGTTCTCTTTGGGATTCTCTGAGATTTGGGCACAGGTTCAAATATAAGAGACTTAATGTCTTTGAAGACTTCCTCAAGGGCTACTCTATATTCAGCAAATCTTGCAGCTTGGTTTTTGTACCTAGATTGGTTTTCTAACTGATAACCTAACCAGGTGCTCACACCATTGTCTCTAGATGAGTGAGCAGAAGCCGGGATCAAGAGGCACTGCGGGAGGCAAGGATGGCCCTGGAGGCCATCGGTGTCTGCTTTCACCTCTGGTCCCTTCTTGTCAATGCTTGGAGCTTTGCATTCTGATCTTAAATTGTCTTTGATCTTTATATTGCCCAACTCCATTTTAGGGGCTGTCAAAGAGCACAGACTTCCTTCAGATCAAATGGCCTCAAGTTTCTCTCTGTAGCCAGTGTTGTGCATTTAATCTTCCTTAAAGTGGTAACATGCTACTTTGTAACACCTGCACTCACATAAAAGACAGACAGACAGACAGACAGACAGACAGACAGACACACACACACACACACACACACACACACACACACACACACACACGGGAGAGGGAGAGAGAGGGAGAGAGAGAGAAGCATCAAAGTTTTTTTCTGTCTTTCTTCCCATTAAGAAAGAAAGACAAGCAGAGACACTGCTGTCTGTTTAAATTCCCATCTCCTGCTTCGAAAGCCACAGAGGCCTCTCTCCAAACAGGAGCAGCCAGGGCTCTAGGCCTGCCCATTCCTCAGCCATCCAAACCAACATATTCCTGGGGAAGACCGCTAAGGGAATAGAAACAGCTATTGTGTGTCATCTCCGTCCCCATTGTGCTAATACCAGTAACACTGTCAATGGGACAGCCCCTTCTGGGCCTTTTTTCAGTAGCAGTAATTTTATGAAGCATACATACATTTTATTTGACATTATTTCCTAACATTTTTCATATTTTTACATTAGTTTTCAATAAGGCCATTATTTTAATAACTGTGCAGAGGCTCAGTTATATCATAATGCATTTAAAGTCCTCTATTGGTGACATGTGGGAGGCCTCCAACTCTTCTTAGGGTTATAAGCAAAGGAAACTCATTTATAAAGATGGGCTGGATAGTGACAAGCACAGGAGTTCCAAATCTTTTAAACATTTTAACCGAATTAAAATAAACTTTAAATCATTTTTAATATATAAAGAACACATTCACCAGTCCAACATAAAAACAATCAACCCGAATTATACCAGCGCACAGAGTACTTTCTCATCCTTGTTCTGTTTCTGTTTTCATTGCTATGGAGACCTTTTGACATCACTTTAAATATTCACACAGCTTTAAGTATTTACATCTCTAATGCTTCTTGACCCTAGGTTGTGGGGTGGACTGTGTGTGCACCCAGGTCTAGAGGATTTGTTTCATTGACTTCCTCCAGCCTTAGTCACAGGCATAAAATCATGGGCAACTGCCCCTTCTTTGGAACGCCCCATGTCTTTTCAGGGTTCCATCCCAAATAATATTTTCAAGTAGGAGTACAGGAGGGGAGGCAGACTGGAGAAGTACTTTCAGTCACAATTGTTTGTATCCCACACATCCATCCCCCTCCCCACCTCTGGTTTAGCTGGCACTAACTCTAGGACCAAATTCATTTCCCTTCCAGACTCTAAAGACAGCTTTGCAGAGACATCCACCTGAGGCCAAAAGCTGTGTTCCACAGCAGACAATTCCAAACCTCCTTAAGAACCAGGCCCTCACTTTAACACAGTTCCTTGGTCTCAGCATTACTGGCATCTGGGGATCGATAATCCTTCATTGTGTGTTGCTGTCCTGTACATTGAGGGCTGTTTACCAGCATTCTCGTCCTCAACCCATCAAACACCAGGAACACCCTTTTCAATTGTGACAATCAAAAGTGTCTCTAGACATTGTCAAATATCCCCTGCAGGAAAAAATTGCACTCAGTTGAAAAGGACCCGCTCTGTAACAGGGAATAGGGGAAAGCTAAGTTCAGCTAAATAACACCCTGCCAAAGACATCTTCAACTTAACTCACAGAGTCTGTGAATTTGTTACTGTGTGTAACAAAAAACAAAAATAAAATAGAAATAAAAAGAGACTCTGTAATTGACAAGTAAGGCATCATCATGGAAAGATTATTTTGGATTACCTAGTGGGTCCAATCTAATTACCAGGGTTCTTAAAACACAGGAGCCATGATGTAACTAAAACACAGACCCAGAAAGCCTTGAAGACACAAGAAGGGACTGTGAGCCAAGCAACACAACGTACGCTAGAAGCTGGAACAGGTACAGATTCTTCAGGACACTGAGTTTACGTCAAATTGTTGTAAACTCTAATAGGCAGTCAATATAGGGACCATGACCAAAGAAATCCCCAGTTACAGCAATCTGCTGTATACAGAAGTCTTGGTCAGAAGACAGTATTGCATTAAAGATAGAGTGCTGTACTTTACCAGGTAATGCCATTTACGGTGATGGAGACCAGGAAGTGGTTTCCCATGGAGAAGGGAAAATTAGCCGGTGGATTCCCCAGGCATTTCTGAGACATTCTAGATCTCATTCTGTATGGTGGCTAACTAGCTGTACACCATGCCCAAACTGTCACTGAGAATTTAGTACATGGGTGCTATCGTATGTAACTTATGCCTCTAGTATAGCTGCGCTGGCTTAGTCTTACAACCATTCAACACAAGCTGTAGTTACCTGAAAGGAGGGACCCTCAATTGAGAAAACGCCTCCATACGATCCAGCTGTAAGGCATTGTCTTAATTAGAATTGATGGGGCGGGCCCAGCCCATGGTGAGTGGCGTCATCCCTGGGCTGCTGGTCCTGGGTTCTATAAGAAAGCAGGCTGAGCAAGCCATGAGAGCAAGCCAGTAAGCAGCTCCTGAGTCCAGGTTCCTGCCCTGTTTGAGTTCCTGTCCTGACTTCCTTTGATGATGAACAGCGATGTGGAGCTGAATAAACCCTTTCCTCCCAGTTTGCTTTTTGGTCATGGTGTTTTGTGGCAGCAATAGAAACCCTAACTAACACAAGTTTGTACCAGGAACGGGGCATTGCTATGACAAATCTGACCATGGAAGAACTTTGGAAGTTTGAGCTAGAAGAGCCATGAAGCATTGAGAGTTCAGTGAGCCATTCTTTAGAAGCTTGGAAGATGAGCATGTTAAGAGCAATGCAGAAGTTAGAGGCCTGGCTCGTGATTTTCAGAGGGAAGTTTAAAGACTATCAGGGCTGTATCCTATTTTGAATAAAGATTCTGTTGTTTCTGTCAGCTGGGGCTGAAGAATCAGCTGTGATTAACAAGAGACTGGCAACATTGAAATGAAATCTTTTCATTACCGAGGGCAATGATGCTGGTTAAGCTAGAGCTAAGAAATTAGCAGTGATTAAGAAGAGACCAGCAGCACTGAGGTGAAATCTTCTAGGAAGTGTTTGCTCGGGGTCAGCACACACACAAGCTATGCTCCAGAAGCAGCCAAGACCTGTACTTTGTGCTGGCAGCTTAGCTTGGTGCTGGTTTTGAAGGAGTCATGGAGAGCAGCTGAGGCTTGGCCCTGTGAGAGGCCAGGAGAGGCCATTGGTGAAGATGCAGCCTCAGTGGCAGCCTCAGTGGCAGCTGAAGGCGCCATGCAAACAAGTTGAGGCTCGGCACCATGAAGAGAGCTCATGAGAGACAGTTGGTGATGGACCTCATCCAACAAGGACACACCTACTAACCCAAATAGTTCCACCAACTAGGGACCAAGTATTCAAACAAATGGGCCTTCATTATCAGTCAAACCACATTCCACTCCCTCCCTCCCAGGGACATAACATGACATAAAATGTGTTTAGTCCAGCTCCAGAAGTCCCACTATTCTTTCAGTCTCAACACAATTTAAAAATCCAAAGTCAAAAGTCCCACTATTCTTTCAGTCTCAACACAGTTTAAAAGTCCAAAGTCTCTTCTGAGACTCAGAGTACTCCCTTATTATAGCCCCATTAAAATCAAAATAAAAAGGCACAAAATAAAAAATCTAAAGGCACAGAACATATATTACCATCCCAAAATGGAGGGATGGGGACATAGAGAGAAAACACTGGGCCAAAGCCAAGACCTAAACGCAGCAGGGCCCTCCAAATTCTGTAGCTCCGTGTCTGATATCACAGTGTCTGACAGCTCCAGCCTCCCTTCAGGTTTTGTTGGCTACAATGTGTTTCTCCCTCTTGGGTTGGGATCCATTCCCCATCAGAGCTTCACACAATGGCCTCTCAGGGCCTCCATGTAGGGTCTCAGTTGCCACACACTGGCCCCAACAACTCTCTTTAATCACAGAGGAAGATTCCACAACTCCTTTCCTTATGTATCCTTCATGATTCCAAAACCAGAAAGAGCTGCCAAGTGGGGTTGCTCACATTGTATAGGCTTCCCTTTGCCTTTCAGGACCAGAAAGTTCCTCAGGCATTTTCTTTTCACAAGTTGGAAGTTTAGATGCATGGGGGTCTCACCCTGAGGACACACTGCCCTTCATTCCATTTCCCATGGGTCTCTCCTGTCTTTTTAGTACAAGCATTGGCTACAACATTAAATTTCCCAGGGTTCTTTTTGGCTCTACACGATACACTTTGTATTTCTTTGTGCCTTACATGCTCTTTTTCATTATAGACCAACAAAAAAGTAATTACTAGTAACCATGCAACAGAGCCAATATTAGGCTGTCTTGAAATCTGTTCCCCCTATTAATCTGTTGTTTTTCAGTTTGCCTCAGGCAAATTTTTAGGACAAAGGCAGAAAGCACCACATTATTTGCCAAAGTATCACAAAAATATTCTCTAGCCCAGTTGCTAATACTGTTTCTCTCTGAAACCTCTCGAGCTGGTCCTCCAGAGCCCACACTGCTCTCGGTACTGCTGTCCTCCATACTAGGATGGCCTATTAATCCCATTTAAAGTTGTCAACCACTTTTCTAGACAAAACTCCCAAAGCTTTCCATGTTCCCCACTGAAAACAGCATAGTCAGGCCTGCCAAGACAAAACCCCAACTCACCACACTGAGTTCAGTCTTCAGTATCTTTCTATTGCTGAGATAAGACAGCATGACCATAGCAATTTATAAAAGAAAAAGCTTATTGGGGGCTTACAGTTTCAAAGGGTTAAGAGTCTATGATTATCAAGGTAGGGAGCACCCATAATTCTCTGTTAAGGGCAATATTCATGACTGCTTTAAGACAACAGATGCTGGCAACAGCAGAGAAAGTGAGTGGGAAGAAGGAAACTGAAACAAGAGGGATGGGTTGGACAGATTTCTGATCTGATTTGAGGCTCACTCTAAGAGGGGAATCCATACCCAGTACTGTAAACTCACTAAAAAGAACCTATAGTGCGGAAAGTCACTGTCCCCAAGAGGGGACTTAATTCTGTTGCTTATTTAAATTGATGTAACACCAAACCACCTTCTAAATAGATATCTTTATAGCCACAGCCAATCACCACTGTGTTAGTCAGACAGCCCTGTCTCTCTAATGCACTGCAGTGAATGAAGAGACTCGGCTGTACACGGCCCTAAGAATAAGTGACAGTTGAGTGCTCAGCTCGGAAACCCCATCTTGTGGGCAAGACAAAAATGCTTCTAACATGAAGTTTCAACATTTGCAGATGACTGTCCCGAGTCCACACAAGAATGGGTCCATGGACAGCCAGGCATAGGTGGGGGAGGTCTCTGGGGTCCCACTCCTCAGTGCTCAACTGTTTGCTACTGATAAAGACAGAGGTTTCCTTCAGAGGTATTGCCGTGATGACCGTACCAGGTTCCAATGGGTACTTCCAATCCAGTGGTCACACTGATGGGCCTGGCAAAACTAAACGAGCCACAAAATAAAAGCAATCATCATGAATACAGAAGAGGTCCAGGTAGGCAGGAGAAGCTGATAGTGGGAGGAGACTAAAACAGGGTATGGGGAGAGAATGACAGAATGCACTGTGCGCACGTATGAAATTGTCAAAGAACTTACAGGGGGAGGGAGAACTAATTAAGATTTTAAAAGATGGACTGGAAAGTCTTATACTTCTAAGTATGAGGTGAGCGAGTGGCCTCTGTGTGAAAGAAAACACTGCCAAAGAGACACTCAGGAAAATTAGAAACACGAAGAGAGTGCTGTGTGAGTGTGGGCATGACGAGGAGTGTCCAGGCGGACAGGCTGACTTCTGACTTGGGCGAGGATAGCTCCTTCCAAGCCACTGCAGGCAGGTGTCCCTATGTCTGTCCCTGCAGCACTTGAGAGCTGAGAAAACACAACTGATAGAAGGAAAGGAAGGGAAGTGGGTTGTGAGAGCTCTGGGGGATTTTTTTTATTCCCTTCTCACAGTATTATAAATTTTCTAATATAAATGTAAATTTTTAGCAAGAAAAACTGTGTGTGGGGTGTTGTGACTAATTGAATCAGCATGCATTAATTATGCATTAGTGACAATTATGCCACAATTCATCGCAGGCCCCATAAATGAGTCTTCAAGCAGAAGGCAAGTACGGAGTGGAGTGACCCACGATAATGATGTCGATTAAGAGGAGGGGCCCTCAGCACTGCTCTTGTTAGAAATTAATCAGGGGTAAAAGACTCATGATGGACTGTCTGCTGGGGCCGAGGCCACACACACACACACACACACACACACACACACACACACACACACACACAGCCTGACTGCTGGGCACTTCTGTGAAGGAAGGTGAAGGTCTAGATCTGAGAAGTGGGGGGCTTTCCAGGCACACCCCTTCCTCTCTCTCTGCAGCTTGGGGTTTTCATCTGTGTGACGAGGCTAATGCTAACCACACAGAGTAAGGTGATGCTTTACAGCTGGGGTTTCGGAATCACCAAGTTTGCTGTTTTTATTTAATTTTGTTGTTTTAGATACAGTGGTCTCGAACCCACCGTCTTCCTGCTTATGGTTCCCCTGTGCTATCACAGGCATGCACCTCCACTCCTGGATCATTTTGTCTGTTTTTATTCTTGGTGAAATGGGGACTATTCTGAGGACTTTTTCTAGTCCCACTTGAAAAAATATAACTTACTTGGCCAGACAGAGCCAGTGTAGTCATTCTGACTAATTTCACCTATTCTAACCACACGGTGGGACCCTGGGAAACAGGATGGAGTGATCGTATACTTTGTGAAATGGATGAGGACCAAAACAGGAAATTATGCCAAAGCATCACTTTCCGATGATGGCCACACTGATTCACAGGCTGCAGTGCCATTCTGGGAGCCAAAGACCAGTAATTCACTAAGTGTCTGGGCATGTGCCTCTCCCAGTGTAGTTAAGCCTGTGAAGAGCTGCAGGGCTCTTAGGAGAGGGATAGGAGACGGATGGAGAAGATATTCTTATAACTTTATTATCATGCCTTTGCTCCAGTACATACCACATCTGCTCATTTAGAAGGCCCAGGATGGATGAACCATCTTAGATATAGGAATCGGTGAGGGCCCTTGACCAAGTATCTGGTAATATGAATCTGCCATCTGTTTGGGAGGTTCAGAGTGTTTCCAGCTAATTAGCTCAAACAGTGCTGTTGTGGGTTAGCTGTCCATTGTAGTACCGGGAAATTAGGACCACTCGGCCACCAACAAGGAACCAAAGGGCTCACATGAAGCTGTACCATCTATTATCTGCCCATGACAAAAACCATGCCGGCTTTGCCTCTGGTTAAGTACAGCTGCTTGGCCTCTGTCACCTAGGCATGTAAATATCACATTGCACCAAGAACAGAGGGCTGTGAGCTGCCAGGGTTCAAGTGATCTAGCTGCAGAGCCTAAGCAGGTTTACTTGAATGACTTATTGGGGATGCTTGCCAAAGAAGACCAGTGAGGGAGGAGAACAGAGCAGAAGAAAGCCAAGCAGAAGGCAATGTTGATAGGCCCTGGATTGAGCCTGGTGTCCAGAGTGCTAATGTATAGACTGTACTGTAGCGCAGGCCACTCTGAGGCAAGGATACCAGGGATCCAGAGTCCTCTCTTTCTGTCATTGGCTCTGGCTGATGACAGGAGTGACCAGTGACAGGATGTGTTAGGTAAATGCTCCCTCCTTGGTGTACAGCTGTCTGGAGGAAGCAGAAGCTAAGCTAGCATTTGGCAGGCGGGAGCTTGGTGTTCTGGCCTCATGAGGTCATGGACTTAGTGCTGGGCAGAAGTATCTATACACTGATGCGTGCTATGGTGAAGCAGTGTGCTCTCAACTAAGCCTCTTCAGGTATGAGGGCCATGCAAGTCAGTAGCCCATGAAAATGTCCCCCCCAATATTCCTTCCTAAATACTCAGTCTTTGGAGTCTTCCTGCATTGCGCCAAGAATCTCTGATGCCTCGTGTTTCCTCACTGTGGACATCTTGCTAAACGGACAGGAAAGAAATAGGGTGGTAGGGGGCGACAGGGAAGGGTGCTTCAAACAGAGGCAAGAATGACATACAAGACTCAGGTCCAACACAGAGTGTGATGTGTTCAAGGTCATTCAAGTTCAGTGGGACTACCTTAAAGAAAGGAATGAAGAGACAGCTGGGGACAAAGCTTGAGAAGTGGAAGCCATTTAGTTTGTGGCCCATAGGTGCTATAAAAAAACATCTGAAACCACTTGAGAGTTCAGAACATCTAAGCAGTATAGTGACAAGCACATGATTATCAGATCCTATCATCTGTCACCCTGGGGGGGGCAGTAAGGCAGAGAAGGGTGACTGGGGTGGGAGGGGGGCAGTGTGTGGTTGTCCAGGTAGAAGATGAGCAGCTCCTGGGCTAGTGAGGTAGCACTGGGCATAGACACAGCAGACTAGATCCAAAAGGCTGCTAGGAAAATGCTTTTCAAACTATGAGTCTTGATCACTTAGAAACAATAACCTTTATTTTGTGAGTCATGGCGAGAATTTCTCTAATGAAGCCAAACTAAATAAAACTACCAGGAGATGTGACACCAGGGTATTGCTTTGTGCAACATTTGCTTCAGGTGTGTGAGGTGTTCTGCTGCCCTGTAGGAAAGATGCTTCCAGCGAGCCTGGAGTCTGCTGGCTGAGAAGACATGAGGACCAGGCAGGTCCAACCGGCCTAGTGGCTTCCACAGCCCCGGCACTGGGATGGAAACCGCTGCATGAGTATGTAGGAGAGAGCCTGAGCTTTTAGTTTTTGGGGCCATTAGACTCATACCCATGTTAGGAAGAAAGGGCTGACCCTGCTCCCAGGAGGCCTGTTGACAGGACTGAGTCAGTCTCTCTAGCATGTCCTGCTCTTCAGAAAAGACGCTGGGTAAAGATCCTGGGTAAACACCCATTCGGCACAGCCAAGGACATCACAGCCCACATTCTGACTCTGTAAGGGAGCGTGTTGGAGGGATGGGTGGGGGATATCTGTCTCCCTGTGACTCATCGCCTGCTCCCTTTGTGATGGATGGCCTCCACACAGCTCACCATCGATCTCGGGCCTCGCTGAAAAGTGGAACAACGTGGCTGCTACATTTACACGGCGAGCTGACAAGTGTCTGCCACGCAGCAGTGGCCCTGGGACTGCGCCAGCCTCCATCCGCCTTGTCAGCGCATGGCTCAATTCCTCCTGTGCGCACCCTTTGGTAAATTGCCTTTGTCAGCGTCTCCTAGCGGAGGCTGCTTTCTCCATCAATCAGAGCCAATGGCCTGTTAGAATGAAAGATTCCTCCCCAGCCAGCCGAAGCAAAGGACAGCAAGGCCTGAGCGCACCCTATTTGCCACGACGCAGCTACTCAGACACCCACACCCCCCACCTCGAGGCCTCCTGCCTTCCCCACCCCAACCCACCCCAGACCTGGCCTTGCTGTGTTGCTCCCAGGGACCAGGGACGAGTCTCCTGCCTGACAAAATGTAGAGAGAGCATTCCCGTTTATTATCAGATTGACCATCTTCTAATCGTGAGAAAGACAGCATTTTCTTTCTTCTCTGTGCTAGTGTACTAACTCTTTGAGAAACACATGAATACTTGCTTTTTACACTTCCCCCTGCTTTTTTGTTCAGTAAATGAAGGGGTGCAAGGATACCTACTTCATAGGACTGGTGTGAAGACTGAGTGAGTCAGATTGTGAGGTGTCTGCCATCCGGCAAGGGTCACGTGACATATGACATCATCTTTAACTGTAGTTGGTGAAACCTGACATACATAGATGGGCTGGCTCTGGCTATTTAACTTTCAGAGAAACTGAGGCTCAAACAGTTAAGTGTGTGAAGCCTTTAAGTTATATCTGCAATCAGCAGCTGATGCAGCCAGACTGGAACAGACATAGGTGGGCTAAAAACAAAAAAAAAAACAAACAAACAAAAAAAAAAACAAAGCTCATGCTGGGCGTTGGTGGCGCACACCTTTAATCCCAGCACTCTTTAATCCCAGCACTCGGGAGGCAGAGGCAGGTGGATCTCCTTGAGTTCAAGGCCAGCCTGGTCTGCAGAGTGAGTTCTGGGACATCTAGAGCTGTTACAGAGAAACCCTGTCTTGAAAAATCTAATCTTCTCATTTCCCAAAGACCTATGGCATTAGGAAGGGTCTGTAACCTGCATTACTGAAACTATAAGAAAGCATCCAGAGTTTTCTGCCTCCCAAATACTTTGAAAGGCTTCTGCAAGCCAGGCCCTCTTCACTGACCAGAAAAGTCATCTCCCAAACTAAGGAAAACCCCTTGAGGGCATGACCAGCACAGTGCACTCAAAGGCTGCCATTTGCTAGGGGAATGGAAAGAACACAGGGACACTTGCTGTCTTGAGTCACCTGTAAGCAAGTGTACCCTGTGAGAGTTCCTGGCTCAGAGTAAGCTGTGGCTTCCAGGTTGTGTGTCAGACCTTCCCTTCCTACAAGTACCATTGGTATTGGCACCTAGCTCGGTGACAAAGCATGTCACACTGCTCTACCAGAGGGGACACAAATGGCTTGGATTCTGTTCTCTGTCTTGCTGGGGTGGGCTCACTAGGCAGCCCAGCAGTAACTGCTGAGCCGAGTGCATACAAATCTGGCTCCAGAGTCTTCCCCTTGCAGTAGGTGACTTGCTCCTTAGGTTTGCTGAGTTCCCCACTGCCTATACAGACTCAGACTTCCCCCAGTGGACTTCAGACACCCATGGCTACCTTCCTCCCCCTGGAGTGGCCTGCCCATTTCCTCATAGTCCAGAGGCCAGACCCAGCTTCCTGATGGCTCTTGGACAGTGCTATTGGTGCGGAGTCCTGACCCAAGAGTTGGCCAGAGATGGGAGGGCTGATCACTCCTTCCCTACACAGATGGCCAGTGGAGCTCCCTCTGTCTGTAGCTGTCCCCCTCCCCCCATGCTGGAATCAGAGGTCCCCTGTTAAGAGACACTAAGTAGCCTAACTTATGAGCCTTTTCTTATGCATGGGGTGGGTTTTATAAACAAGGTGAAATGGCTCCCCTAGGAGAGGGAATGGAGGCTGTTGTGAGGGCTAGCTTTAAGCCGGTTGCTTTCTACACAATTTTCATGTGCATGCACACGCACAAACTTAGGATGGTTTTCTAGAGAAAGTAATATGTCAAAAGATGTGTCAGTATGGGCACCCAGTATCCTTGTTCTGGGCTGCGCAGGCTAGATCTACAGAGAAAAGACCCTGAAAAACCACTTAACACTGGTGTCAGGAGCCATGGCTAAGCTCCTTACGGTGCCAGGCATGGAGGAGGGGTCCACAGGGAACAGCGTGGGGTGGGGAGGCACAGACTTGAGACTATGCTGTGGGGGCTGTCACCATTTAGCTCTGCTTCTGCATTCTCCACCAGGATTGGGATGAATTTGGGGGCATGGGTGCTATCCCAGGGGGCTGTCTCTGTGGACACAGCTGTTCAAGCATGTACCCTGGCAAAGGTAGATGCCTGAGAAGGTTTCCCAAGTGTTGGCCAAGTCTCTATGTCTTGGGTCAAAATAAAATGTGAACAAAGGTAAAGCAATTAAGTACTGCAGCAGTTTGCATCTGGCTTTAGCAAGTCTCCAAGGGTTCCCATGTTGAAAGCTTATCCCCACTGTGAGGTATTAAGAGAGTGGACACTTCGAAAGGCCTCTGGGAAGTATTTACGATTAAAAGAGTTACCAAGGTAAAGCCTCATGAGGGAGTATAATGAGATGCACAGGGCTCCATTTCCTGTGCCATTTGGGGCCTTGGTCAGCGAGAAAGCCCTCCGCCAAGCACAGGCCCTTGAGTCTCCAGGGCTGTGATGGAAATAAACCTATTTTCTTTATCAAGTTACCTAGCATCAGATATGTTCCCTTTACTCACGCAGAACAGGACGACTATCCACTCAAGGCATTTGAATACTCACAATCTGTCAACCTGGCAATTCTCTCCCAGCTGCATTTAAACAAGGGGGTCGTTTATAGACCCAAATATTATACATGCACTGTTTTCTCAGGGTGCATTAAATTCACAAAAAAACACAACCGTTAAGATCTCATTAACTTCTTTACTTCCCTTTAGCTTTATCTGAAATTTTCGATTACAATGTTATTGTTTGGGGTTTTATCAGTCTTGAACCTGCCTCTTCTCTCAGACCTATTTGGTTTTTATTGTGACAAGATGAGAGTCAGGGACACCTGGGGACTGTCATGATGGCCTTCAGTGCTCTGCATGCCCAATCACTAGCAGCACAGGGCGGGCATGGTGTCCACAGTGCACTGGAGGTCTGCGTCCCCATGGGATGTACTTGGTATCCAGAGAGCACCCGTACCATCCCCTCCCTGCCAAGAGAGATGGATTCTTTATCAATTCAGAGCCAGGCTACTGCTGCAGAAGGAGCAGAAGTGAGAAAGAGGCCCACAAGGTTCTCCCCACATTTCCCACTGCAAATCTCATGGGCTGTTTCAGTGTAGAGGGTGGAGGGTCTCAAAAGCCAGTGTTGATGCTCAGGGTCAGCGATCTCTGACACCCACATCTTCCAGAGAAGGACAGACTTTCCCTGCTTTCTAACAGGAAGCTAATAGCACAGGCTGGTCTGAGATACTGTCAGGCCCATGTTTCTTGATTCTCCTTTCACAACAGCAAGGAAATAGAATCAGCCTAGATGTCCATCAGCAAATGAACAGGCAAAGGAAACACGACGCATATACACAGTGGAATTCCACTCAGCCATCAAGAAAAATGAATTACAAAATTTGAAGGAAAACTGAACTGAAAGACATTCTATTAAGCAAGGTGAGCCAGGCTTGGAAAGACAAGTACATATATTCTCTCTCAGAGGCAATCCCTAGCCACTCACTCTTAAATATTTGTATCTAGATGGGAGAAAAGGCAGGTACAGAGCAAGAGATTTGCCGGGGATGGGGGTAGATTGACAGCAGAGTAGGAACTGAAGAAATCAGGATTAACCCAAATAATGCTAGTTTGCAGGGAAGGCCGGAAGCGCTTCCTTACCCTGGCATCATAAAATGAATAGAGCATGACCCTATAAAGTTTTTCAATCCCAACAGGAAGAGGGTGTGAGGGGCTGCAAAGGACCACATGCTGTATGGCTGGTGCTTCTGGGGCGCTCCTCAGCTCCCTAGCCCACTTCTATTCCTGGAAGTGCTTTTTAAAAACAAACCCAGTGTCTTTAATGAAACAGAATGACATCTCTTCCCCTCCTTTTCCTCTTACCAGCTACTGAACCACAACCCCTCCCATCCCCCACCCCTCTCAAGCTGCTCGTCTCTTTCTCATTATTATTGTTACATTGTATGTATGTATACACTGGTAGTGTATGTATGCTTATAAATGTATGCACAGATATATAGAGAGACAGATGGTAGATAGATGATAGGTAGAAAGATAGATACACACACACACACACACACACACAAACACACACACACACACACACACACACACACACACACGCTAGGTCCACTTCGGTTGTCTGTGTGTATATAGTTTCAAGGCTGACTACTCTGCACTGGACACCTAGGTAGGGAGCTCACACCTGGGAGAGGCTAATTCTCCTTCTCCCCGTGGCCATTTGTTTAATCTAGGGTGAGACCTGGTATGGTTTTCTCCCTGCACATCAGCATGTGCATTGAGACTGCCTTTGTTCTAGTCTTTTCTATGCGGCCATTTCTATAAGTCTGTTTCATGGCAGATTTATTGGCATTCTGACTTTTACAGTTTTCCACCCCCTCTTCCTCAATGTTCCCTGAACCAGAGTTACAGAACTTGGATATAGCTGTATTGGGGCCAGGCTCCCCGTGATCTGATTGCTGCATCCTGTCCAGTGTGGTTTTCTGAGGTGGTCTCTTTGCTGTGAAGAGTGGTTTCTTTGATGAGGGCAGTAGCTATGCTCATCCAGGAATGGTGGCTTGCTCACAGAAGCCACTGGCCTCAGGTCTGAAAGGAGGCTTGTCTGTGGGTTTATAAATGACTGTGGGTTGGGGTAACCTGCTTTCCCTTCTTAGAAAGACATCTGTTTCTATTCTATGCCTCGCTCACAAGGCATGACTTTTCTCAATCTCTTCTGGCAGCTGCTAGGATTTTCATCTACCTTGTACTATGATTTTTCTCTCAAAATTTAATAAAACTGTCCTCAAGCTTACTTCTGAGTTAATTTCCAATTACTCTATTAACAAGACTAAGAACCCTGAAAGGGAATCTCAGTTTTCTAGTATAAGACTAGAAACAAAGAGACTTTTAAGGAAGGAGGTGGAGAAGATGACAGAGCAAGACGTAGGGGGATAAGGGTCAGCAAGGAAGAGCGAGTCAAAGGCTGTGAGGGAATGCATGAGTGAAAATGACTGACATGAAGTATGCATGCAACTCCTATGTTAAAATGTTCTTTTCTTAGTTAATTGAAATATGTAGATTGGGCCAAATGTGGTGGTGCACACACCTTTAATCCCAACACTCAGAAGAAAGAGGCAGGCTGATCCCTGCAAATTTGAGGTCGGTCTGGTCCACACAGTAAGTTCCAGGACAGCCAGGTCCACAGAGTGAGTTCCAGGACAGCCAGGTCCACAGAGTGAGTTCCAGGACAGCCAGGTCCACAGAGTGAGTTCCAGGACAGCCAGGTCCACAGAGTGAGTTCCAGGACAGCCAAGGCTGTGTAGAAAGACTGTGTCAAAGAAAAAATGTAGGCTGGATAAATAAAAGTGCATGCCTGTTTTTTCTAACCCAGAGGCACCCAGCTGGGGACTGTGTGACAGGCAGCCTGCTCTAGAACAGGGCTTTGCCCTGTGTGCTTTGCTTCTGGATAACAGAGTAAAAGCCCAGCTGCACCCCAGAGACCAGCGGCTGATGACCTGGTGCTGAAGAAGTGTTCTGAACGCCCCTCGGAAGTGGGGGAGCTGTGTGAGGTGTTTCTTGACGTGAACCCAGCATCTCTACACACATTTGTTTCCATAAGAAAACATCTTTTACCTGAGATGGAAACCCTGCCCTTTTCCCAAATACTTTCTGAGCGTCAGGGTAAGTTCCTGGTTTAGAAAAACTTGCTTCATCCATGGCCCTCTCTGGGCTATTTCTGGCCTCTCCCTGAAGAACAGAAGTAAAATTACATTTCAAACCAGCCCCTGGCTTATTGACACCTGGAAGGTTAATCAAGTGCGACTTTTCCCTTTCTTGATCAATACGTCTCTGGCTTGTCCTGTTCATAGACAGTTACCCAATTACCGGCTCTCTAATCGGAACCACACGACCTTTCAAAGCCTGACTCGCCTCATCGATCTGGTAACAGCTAAATTGGCACCCTCCTCTCTCACAGAGCAGATTTAATCTGCTCAGGTTTGATTAAAAGGCTTGGCTGAAACCAACGCCAGATGGAATTTCCTTACTGTCTAGAAGGTCCTCAGGAGTCACAGGAGTCCCACACTGAGAGATTCATCAGGGAGAGAGCTCGACCGTGGGTCAGTTCAGGGGCGCACCCACCTCCAAGTGCTGGGAGGATTCCGTGATAAGCGTATCCCCTAAACATCTAATTCTTGGTTGACAGTGGCAACTCTTTTGCCCCATGGGTACCTAACTCTGTTCTCACTCTGTTGAGACAAAACCTTCGGAAGTGGGATTTTGTAAAATGAGAATGCACGTGTCACCAAAATACAACTATGGAGAGAGAAACCAATGTCCTCTTGTTGGGATCTGGTAGATGAGTTTCCATATGACACACACGACACTAATCTTGCAGAAGGTGAACACAGTTCCTGGGGCCTCAGGCATTTATGTTGTTAGTATTTGTTTAACAAATCATTCACACGGTGAAAATTTTTAATTAAAATGGACCCGTAAACTACTATTCACTCATACAGTGCAATCACTTATCCTGTCCCCGGAGATTAAATAATGAAGCCACAGTCTTTCTAATTACCAAAGGGGAGGAGACCTGTTATCTGGGTCATTAGTTTCCACCTCAACCTTGCAAGAGGAGAAAATGCAATTTAGCTCGTTTGCAATGACAATTCTGAAATTTTAAGTAGAAATTAAAAATATGCCCATCGTTTCATGATGTATACAGGAATGAGAATGTGAGGACAGTTTGAGTGTTGCATAGCTGCATTAGGCTTGCAGACAGAAATAAGAGCATCCGAGTGCAAATGAGAAAAAAGGCACTCACTGTAAGACGCCTCACCAGTCATGCTGGGGGGTGACTGTCAGAATTCCTGCCAGGACTGCATGGAAGCCACCCAGGCAGTTGTACAAAGTGTCCAACTCCCCAAACAATGTGTTCTCAAAAATGTGGAGCACAAAGAACCAACCTTTGGCTTTTCTTTCTGTGGCATTGAGAATGTTCTGTGGCTTTATTTAAATTTGTACTAACACACATGTTAGAGCTGGATTTAGATAAAAATATCTTAGCTTTCCCATCTCAAATTGAAAGTAATATAAACATACCCTTAAGACTTATCTATCCAAAAAAAAAAAAAAAAACTTAGGTGGATATTTTCTTCCTGTGAAAGTATTACATAATAAAGAGGAAGCAGATATAAAGGGTAATGGATGGAAAAAAAGGAATATAGGCAAAGAATAAGGACAGGGACTTTCGGGCTTCACTTTTTAAACCAGTAGCACTGTTTTGAGAAGAACGACCCTAAATATTGACGGCAGTGCCTGGGGCTTCCCAGTCTAGGAGCAGAAATACAGAATCTTCAGATGGCCACTTGGACAGCTCTCTGCCTGTATTTCAGATACACAAAGCTCAGTTGTTCAGTGGTATCCCCAGGGCTTGTAATTTCCTGTGGTAGAGTCAAGTGCACCCTTGGATAGAGCTATCCAGCTGAAACACTGGGTGTCACTCAAGAGGAGGGTCCTAGAGGACACCGGAACTCATTTCTCTCAGGAAAAAAGACTTGGAGATGATGAGAGCAGAGAGCATACCTGTTCCTTAGCCCATGTAATCTTCACAGCAACCCAGTGAGTGAGCAATAAAGTCCTCTTCACTCACAGATAGAAAAATAAGGTAAAAAAGACAACAAGGCAGACCAGTGCCCATACTTGGCCACACCCTAAACTAAGACCTGTGGAGCCTAAAGTCAAGCCAGTGTTCTGTTGACGATCATGTAAATCCAGTAATGTCTTTAGGAGTTGTGGAAATGTCTCAGGGGCTGAAGGGCTGGCCATGCAAGCAGCAGAACTGGAGTTCAGATCCACAGAGCCCGGATGCTGGGGTAGCACCCCTATAATTCCAGTCCTATAAGGCAGACAGGAGACTCCTCCAGCAAACTGGCTAATCACAATAGTCTTCTCAGCAAGCTCTGGGTTTTCTCAAGAGACCCTGACTGACAAAATAAACAATTAGAAGATTCCAGATGCCAACCCTGGGTTTCCAGACATTGCACATATGTACACATGTAGGCCAACACACAAGCAAGCAAAGATTACCTTCCTTCTATCTATCCCTGTCACATCAAACACTGATCCAATTCTGGCACTACACCTTTGCCTTATCTAGGATTTCAGATAAATGGACTTCCATGTTTGTTATATGTATTATTAATATTTCAGTCTCTTATGAACTTGCTAGCATTTTATGACATGGATATGCCAGGGGTGGTTTTCTGCTTACTGTGTGACATTTAGGTTTTATCTAGTTTTTACTCTCTGCAGTAATACTTTTATTTTTTTTTAACATGGCTTCAAAGGATGCAGCTGTTTCTCTTGAATGAGAACTGTAGCAGACTCTGACTCATAAGGTGAGTGCTCGCTTACCTTCATGAAATACTGGCACACTGTAGTCACCACTACACACTTCTGCCAGCAGCTACGACAGCACTAATTATGCCTCTAGCTAATATGTAGTGTTGCCAGAATTCTTACGGTCTTTGAAACTCGGACGAAAAATACAAACTGAATTGTTCCATGTCTTGAGTGTCATTTAAACTAGGTGTTGCCTCCTGGTACTAACTTGGCTTTAGTATCTGCCTGCAAGCAGACACTGTATTGTTGATGTGGTCACTAATGCGGACCATAGGTATGGATCATCTTCGTGGGCCTATTGGCCATTTTAGGATTTTCTTTAGCTTGGTTCCCATTCAGATCTCTCATCCATTTTTAGGCACTGGGTTGTGTGTCTTCCTGCAACTGAGTCTTGTCTGCATTTTTTATAGTGTGACTGTGTGACTCCTTGTCCTTTTCAGGATCCCTCAGCTTCTGCTCCCTTTGCCATCTGCAATACTCCCTTTTATATATGCCCAGGATTTATGGCTGTGGGCTGTAGATTTCTTTGCCTGGCAGACGGTTGTCTGTCATATCTGGAAGCAGCAGCAGCTCGAGCTTTAATACAACACTGGGGATTATACTGTCAGGCTACTTCCTTGAGACAAATCTTCAAAGCCTTTAGAGTCAAAGATAAAGAGCAGATCTTGGCATGGGCAAGAGGACAATGACAACTACATCTAGGGGAACAACAACCCAGTTACTGGCTGGCTTCTTGTCAGAAGACACGGGCCAGAGAACAATAGAAAACGTCTTCAGACCCTAACATAAAATGTTATGAGAGAAAATGAATCTAATATTTCATGGTCAGTGGATTTGTAAGACATACCCTCCCCTGACACACACACACACACACACACACACACACACACACACATGGCCACAGCCTCAGTGCAGGCAATGTGGCAGTTTTCAGAGTGGGAGGAGGGGTTACAATCCTTCAATTAGCATCAATTAAACAATAGCTGATGGTGACAGCCCCTGTCGTGGTTTTACCCAGAAGTCCTCCTTGGTGTTGGCTCACCTAGAGCCAGCTTGCAGCAACAGCTGGCTGCCGGCCCTCAGCTTCAGGGGGCTGCGGTGTCCCAAGAAATTGCCAGCTTCTGTGGGAATTGGCCATCTTCAGCCTCACTATGCTGCCAGCGGTTTTCAGATGTCATGAGGTTGGTAACACTTCTGTTGTTAAATTTACAGATATTTAAGCTTCATCAGGCTTGTGAATCGCCTTCCCCAAACAGTTCAGTAAGCCTTCCAGGAGTATTCCTTGCCTGAGGCTTTGACTTACATTTACACTCCTGTGAGGTATCTAGCAGACCTATCAGAAATGGCTGCTATGTTCCTGAGGCCCTTGGGTTCAGGTGACAAAGGCCATGGACAAATGTGTGCGCTGAGTGCCGGATAGAGCAGAAGGGTGGCGCAGTTCCCCAGAGGAAATAGGAGTGGACACCATTGCCACCGTGTGTGATAAAGAGACAGGAAAGGGGACTGTAAAAGCTGGTGTTTGCCAGCAGGAGGGTGGTGGCTAATTCCATGACAGTACCTCACTGAATGGGGACTGCTTCGGTCTTGTGAGCAGACTGGAGGCCCAGTCTTCTACAGCCCCAGGGTCATGAGCACTGGCTGACAGAACATCTGCTAGGATGACCAGGCACTCCAGAGTGGCTTGTTTTCTATTGCTTTAAAGATTTATTTCCACACACACATACACATGAATATAGTGTCTTTATTTCAAAAGCAAAATGTGTCTCATTCCATTTTGAGCACCAGTTTTCCAGTTAGAAATACGAGTGTGACTTTCCCTTCCTTCTCTGGACTGCCCATGGTCTGCACCTCAGACTGTGACAGGATTTGCTGGGGTCAGGTCTCAGGTCTCTTGGCTTCACCTCCTCTCTGACTAAATATCAAGTTTCGTACTAAAATACTAAGAGGCATCATCTCTCAGGATGGAGGCCACCTTCTGTCTTTATTGGACGGTGAGTCCTTAGCTACCCCAAGTTCTAGGTAGGCACATAAGGTGTGGAGATGAGGTAGAGAGAATAGATAAGGTTCAGGGTAGAGCATTTCCTTCTTAGCAGGAATTGGGATCAGCTGGTGGGTATGGCTTTGTTACAGGAGTCAGCCTAACCCGCAGGTGACACAGGCTCTTTCTATAATTTGACTGGACTTCTCCAGTGCCAAGTCAGGGCTGGAGACAGTCAAGGACACAGGCTTGTTTATTCGGTAATATGTGAAACAGCCAATTGACTTGGAAGGTGTTTGGTGCGGGGATGGAAATTTTCTTAATTGTTACATTTTCCTAAATACCTCTTTATCTTCAGGGTTTTTTTTTTTTCACTCAAATTTGGCTTGCTTAGTCTAATTTTCCACTAATTACTGACTAAAGTCACAGTCTTTGAGAGAATGAAGAAATAGCAACTTTGTATGCCATTTTACAGATTAAAATGAAAGAGGACCCATTAAGTTACATGACTGGATCAAGCACACATAATTGATAAATACTTGTAAACATTAATATGTATTATTTACTATGTCCCAGATACTGTTAATGTGACCTATTAATCAAACCTCACAATGACTGATGTATGAACTTTTTTTTCAATACATCAACCTTGCTAGCATTATCTATAATTATTCAATCAAATATCCTTTTGGGATAAAGGCATCAAGAAGATGGTGGAATAGGATTCTCCTGTGTGTATCCTCCAACAACGACAACAGCAAAAACAAAAAAGCCATCAAATTGCACAACTATTTGTTCACAAAAACACCTTAATTACTTACCTTAATGAGAACCTGGCAACAATTCCATGAACAGGATGTTACATAGAAATAAAGGATCCAGGACCTTCTTGCTGAAAGAGGGAGAGGAAAAGGGGCATCTGTGGGAACTGGTGCAGAGGCCAGTGCTCCTTC